ATTTTTGGCAGCCAGAGTTTACATATTTCACAGAAAAATTTGTCGTGTATGAAGGGCACAGACTCATAGCTTCAGACTATTCAGACTTTAGACGAAACCATCCAGTCATAGGACATAACGCGATTGATATTTTGAGCCAATTTTAGAACACATATTGGTTTCATTTTTCATGCATCTCCTAGCAATGAGGCACATTTTTCGGCATAAGTTCAGAATGACATGAAAGTCTGCTAGTGAGTGATCCTCAGTCATTTAGTATAGATACCCAGTTTTTCCAAGTCAACAAATATATGTCTACGGTTTTGAAACCTGTTCAAATTTTAAAACCTGTGTAGTGTATTCCAGCCTTTAAGCAATAAGGCAGATCAAGATTTTTTCATCAAAATTTAAATAAGTTATTTTCTAATCACACTTTTTCCTGAAGTCAAACCTATTGTATGACTTAAGGAGACAAGTTGTATAAACTATGCTTTTATGTCATTTTTGGAGCTTTACAGCGCCAGGTCACCACTGACTTTCATTGTATGGAAAAGAACAGCGTGAACATTCTACTAAAGAACTTATTTTGTGTTCTATCTATGGAAGAAAGAAAGTCATATAGGTTTGGAACACCATAAGGGTGAGCACAAGATAACAAAGTATAATTTTGGAAGAAGTATATCTTTAAAAACACACTCCCTGAAGAGTCATATTCTCATAATCACATACAGAGATACATGACACTCATTGGCCTATTGTAAAACATCACATTTCAGAAACATTCAAATTTAGCAACATGAGGATGTAACAGTCACCATTTCCCATTCTGCACAAATGTACGGCCCTGGTCGGAGGATGACTAACAGCCCTATCTGATTGGCCAGGTTCAAGAAGTACTCAAGATCTCTGTCTCCTGCAAAGTTGAACACACCCCGCACGGTCTCATGGAAGTTCCACGGCACATACCTGCATGAAAGCAATCAAAATATTTTTGGCAAGATGTGTAACTAAAGTGTGAACACAGTGTTTGCACTGATGCTCTGTTCGACGTACACCTGAATAGCATTGAGTCCAGTCATGTACATCTTGAGCAGCCTGTCTTTCCAATATTCCCGAGGAATGCGGGAGTAGTGGATGCTTCCTGAGATGAACTGAAATGGTTTTCCATCCTTTCGGAAGCAGTTGTTCTTGTAGTCGATGGAAAATGAGCGTGAATCTGCCTTAAAACAGAAAAGTCATGTAGTTAAAAATGTGCAGGGTGTTGTAGTGGGTGCATAAGAACCCACAAAACTATTCTTAATATTATAGAGACTGCATTCACAATGAGCATAATTTAAAAAAAATGCAAATTCACTATATACATTACTTTACCAGGCTTAAAATAACCATTTTAAAATGTCCCTGATATTTCAAGGTTTCTATGACAATTGGAAAAGCTGTCACATGAATTTGGCCATTATTTCTATAAATACACGTCAGGAAGGTAAAAACTAATTCCTCACAATGAGCAGAGGTGAAAATCGTGTACTTTAAATCAGGTACTTACCAACACAAAAATGATTGGCAACAAGCACAGACTTAGCAAAACGAAAGTAATTAGTGGCTTCATCTCTAAATCAAGCGGATAAGACGCAGTCACAGTCCTCCGTTTTACATTATGACAGCAGCGCGTGATCGTAACGTGTCAGGAAATAATATCACAACTGCTCAAACTTTTCTGTTCTGTCATTTTGCATAAAGCGGTCCACTTTCACTGTTCAATAGATTTGCAGCGTTTCTCCTCTTTGAACATGACGGTCATGTGATTGTATTCAGTTTAGCCATAATCTGGGTCCTAAAGTCCGCCTGGACGTG